AGCTCTCAGATTTTGGCACGAAATTCATCCATCCTTTTGGCTAAATAGTTTCGACATTATAGCTGATGTCAGTTCGTGATGAAAAACCGTAAATCTAATTGCTAACCCTAACTATCAACTATGAATCACAATCCTTATTCTTCAAACTGCTATACGATCTTCATTTAGTTCTAGTAAGTAGGTAGACACCCTCAAGTTTACTTTGGCGTCACTCAAATGTCGTCCATAAATTATAATCTTACCAAAATGACTACACATTATAGTTTAATAGCTCTGTATTAAAAGGTACATCACTTCTTGGTACGATAAAGTAGTTGTCCGATGTTAATTTTCACTGTTAAAATATCAGTAGAATAAAGGCATTTAGCTCACAAACTTGCAATCAGAGTGAATCAGCGTCAATTTTTGTGAATATATAAGTGTTTTTTCAATTTGTACATAAGTGTTAATTGATATTACACAGAACAGTCCAATATATTTTAAGATGGGAATATTTATCTATTCATTTATTGTGTAAAAATGTATCATGTACAAGTAGGTTTTGAAAGTAATGAATTTTTCAAGTTTCAACAGAACCTTACACAATCTGATAGTATTCAGGTAATAAACCTTGTGAACATTAAACATTAAAATAATCACAAGAAATAATTAAGAAAGTTTAATAAATACGGTTCTAAACAGATTAAATAAATAAAACCATGAATATTTATACTGAGTAACCAATAGGATAAACGATAGACCGGTTGTTTAGGAAGTTATTCAAAGGTCCCTAACTAATAGTGATCTATGAAAAAAGATAAGTTTATTTAAATTCTACTAAAAAATGATGTGTTAACCGAATTGCATCAGTTGATTGATGTTAGTCAGAGGTAAGTATAATTTTCAACTAGTATACAACCTTATCACTCTGAAAACTTGAATATAAATGCCAAAGAAGATGTCACAACAAAACGCTCCGCCTGAGAATTATTTATAGAAACTTTGTGTCTGAAACTCATTAAATAGGACTAGTAAATCAAATTATTTTGGATTAAGATTTTTGTGTACTTTTACGTAATTTAGACGCTAGTGAGACGGAAAGTCCTGGGTTCAAGTCCCGAGTACGGGATCGTGGATGCGCACTGCTGAGGAGTCCTATACTAGGACAAAACGGCCTTCTAGTACTGCTAGGTTTTCAATGATGGTCTTGCTTAAATCGACTCATCAGTTCAAGTATTAAACTTCCATGTATGTTAGACAGTTAATTGTAATTTATTATGTATTATATTTTAAAATTAATTATTTCGAAGTAAATGAATCTGAATAAAAAATCATAATACTATATAACGTTTGTCTTTTTGTAGAATTGAAATAAATAGTAAAACTTAACAAAAAAATTATACATTTCATAGTTGGTTAAATAGTGAAGAAAATTGATATAAATGGGAATACGCTTCTTTTTACGATTGATTAATCACACAATAATGATTGATTTAATATTTGTCTAGTTGTTTAATGCTGATCGAGTTCTATCAATTAAAGCTGCAATGTTGTTACTAGTCCAGGTGACTTGAGATCGCGTGTTCTACATAGATTTCTCACTCCCACATGAGCTCATGAGCTGCAAGAATTACACAATCGTAAAGTCTCAGAATCTGAAGTTAAAACCCATATGGGAGATTTAAGGTGTCTCAAGATCCCATGTACCCCTTGTTGATCAGTGTCAAACAGCATAAAATCAAGATCTATAACCTTCTGTCAATTACCAACGACCACCTAATATTACAAAATTTTCTTTTAATACGAGTTGATTATGTTTGATAATATATATTACTGGATATTGAACAGATTACGGTAATCTCTACTGATTATAATAAGAATATTATTCAGTTTTAAGGTCAATGGTCAGTTCAGTATTATTCAACTATTCTTATTCCGTATTACATTTTTAAAAAAAAAACAAGAGAAGATGCAGTAGTTTCAACTCAGAATTAAATTACAGATTTAATCCTCGAAAGTTTAATAATATCAACTACTGATCGTCAATGACTTCGATCATCATGTGTAGTTAAATACGTGACTAAGAAATAATGTATCATATGATTTATTTTTCGACCATTATTTCAGAAATAATGCTAATTGAAACTTTTATGATCACTTGACACTAATATACAAACACAAACGTACAAATGTGTTATGTGCTATTGATGTCGACAGATATATGTAGTATATATCACTAACCAAAAGTGGAATGCCTGGTGGTAGAAGGTTAAAAAGATTGAAGAAGATAGAACGAGAACATAGAATGATTGATGTGGAAACGAAAGAACAATGAAGTTTTAGACAATTGATTGATATTTTGCAAATGAAGTATTTATTGTATGGTTCTCAGATTCTGTAATTTTGTTTTCAAATGCATTCAATTGTACCCAGTTGCGTTCTCGCTCATTACACAATAAATAAATATTAAGAATTCACAACAAGTTGTGGTATGTTATAGAATGACATGTGATAGACAATGAGCAAAACATTAAGACAATTGATTTTTAGACAATACATTTGTTTACATTATATCTAAGCAGAGTCTAGGACAGAATTAGTTGTACTACATCCTTGTTTTTATTTTGGTAAAAGTTTATTTCATTAGAAATACTGACAGTGTATTAAATTGACTAATATGTTAATCGTAAAATGAACAGATGTAATGTTATTATAATTACTCTTATTATCCTCGTTTCACTGAAATAAATTCGATTCCTAATAAATGACTAAAAAAACCCAGAGTAACGAGGATCGAAATAAGGATAACATAATGCACATCATGTATATATATATATATATATATATATATATATATATATATATATATATATGTATGTATACCGTGAATACTGGTAACAGTGTTAGTAACAAAATAACAGTCACATGAACCATAATTAGTTATCACTTGATCCATATAAAATTATGTTTATAAACATGTTTCTCTATGTAACATTTTCTGTATGCTACATGTAACGACGTCATAGACACTAGTGATAAAAACGAATACTTAAAATGATTTTAATGAGATAATATACAAAATACAAAGTTTATAAATAGTGTAGTTGATTTTTTGTTTCATTTTACAGGATAGAGATACGAAGTGATACATTTCTATATATGAAAAAAAACATACTTCATAAACTATTCAATATTCAATATGTCTATCATCATAGAAACACACTGAATGTCATTTGTTAATGTAATAATGATGATATGCTTTTTAAAAAAAGATATAAAATATAGAAAAATACAAAAATGACTGAATTAGATAAATGATTATTGAAATATAATTAAATTGTTAGGAATTTAGAATAATAACTCTGGCATAGATCTTCTTCTGAATTACATTTAAAAGTGAAAGTTATAATGGTACAATGGAAGATTATATATATGTTCACTAAGTCATTGTTATCTAGAAGCTAACCAGTCTTATATTATATTAAGACGTGATCTAATTGATATATGTCAAAAGTTTGCATCACACATTATTTTAAATGATTAGCACGATGTTTGATACAAGGGATTATTATATGCTTTGTGAAGTAGAATTATTCGATCAAATATGGTATTACGTAATAACTGTAAGAATAATAATTCAATAACGTTTTTGATTGAGGTCATTGAGATCGATTGATGTTAGACCACCACTGCAAACCATGAGGCACTGGACAGCCCTTTTGTCCTAGTATGGGACTCCTCAACAGTGAGCATCCACGACCCTAATCGCGCGATTCGAACCTACGACCTTCGGTCTCGCGTGCGAGCGCTTAACGTCTAGACCACTGAGCCGTCATTAAACGGTGTTTATGTCTAACCTTTCAGGTCTTCAATGGTTGTCTAACATTAATCAATTCATAATCTAAATAAAAAACGTAATAATCTCCACAACCCTGTACTGATAATTCAATAAAATTTTCATATATTGTTTTTATTCTGTTGTGAACCCGAAAATAATTATGCTGAAATAAGTAGTCGATATCTGAAAAATGGTTTCTTTATAATTTGAAGAGAATTTCGATCTAGGTAAATAACATTCTAGGGTATAAACAGATAAATAATGCGAATACTTATACACTTTCAGAAACGCAAGACAAATGACTGTCTGTTTTCAAACAGATATATTTTTGGGAATATTATGTTTTAGGAGTATGCATATGTGAATATCCCAGTTGTAATGTAATCTAATCAACGAATACACGAACAAAAGTTATGAGAGCTGTATTTTGCTAAATTTAAGGGAGATCATGTCTATTACAGTCAAAAACCTCACTAGGGTTTGTATAAGCTACGTTTACTCTTTTGATGAGAACCACGGAAGTTTTCAGATTTCAGGCCTTTTAAGTCCTTTGTAATTTAATGTTACCATTCAACCCCGAAGCGCGTTCCTGAAATCATGTGAACAAATAACTTTCAGATTGGAAGTTGACCAAACAGTAAGTCAAAAATCGTTTCCCATAAATTCATAAACTGCGGCTGTAGACAAGGGTCACGTATTTTAACCAAAACCAGAATAAATAATTATCTATAATTATTGTTAAGGAACCTTTATTAACGTTATTTCAAAAGTGATTTTATGTTACTGACAGATCACTATGTAAATTTACCTAATGTTAAATACCTTCATTACAAATAGCATACTTCAATTGTTATTATAAATCAAAAGGAAAATCTTCATTTAAAAGAGTTGGAAATAAATGTTTTAAGTCTTTTTCTTCAAAGTACCTTTGTATTGAGTTTATTTTTGACTCGTGATACTACTCACTAGCAAACAACTCCTAATCTGAGAAATTTCTTTGTCGGTTGAAATTTTCAAACTATAACTGCATTGTTGAAGAAGAATTCAATTTTTTTATCAAACTGTTTCTTGACCGATTCAGTGAGCACTTTAATACCTAAACATACATCCATCATGACTGTTAGAAACAAATATACGGTTCTTTCTTCAGTTAGAAAAAATAATGGATCACTCGAAAGCTTACATGTTCCCTTGATCTGTTTTCACTGGAAGAACTGAGGAACTCTTCTTGGTTGTTAGAGTTTGAGTTGTCATATTTCATTTCAGATCCAATAATATTTTCTGAATATATTTATACTAAAACGTAATAAAGAAGTTATAAGGTATAGACGTTAAAGAGTACTGTAACATGTGCCAATTTTCAAATGATTTACGATTATTTTTTACAGCAAATGCACTGAGTTATTTGCAGAAATTACAAAATAGTAGTTATTGAAATAAACCCAAATTACGCTTGATGGTTTTCATCTCAGATTGACTTCATTCATAAAATGGAAATCAAAAGGTCCAGTTTTCAGTTAACTGAATTTTCTTTTTTCTACCGGATCAAAGCACATTCAAAACACCTTGGTTCAAAGCAGTTATTTCATAACTCTAATGTTTACATTTTGATTTTATAGGGTTAATTTATGAAAAATATACCCATTTAATGATGCTAACTATCTGATATCATGTTACACATCTTTACTATTTATTGAGCTGTATGTTTATCCATTCATGCTGTTTGATATGTGATCAAAAGTAATTAAGTTTTAATTCCATTATATACTTACTTACTGACGCGTGTTACTCCTCGTGAAGGAGCATAGGCCGCTCACCAGCGTTCTCTATCCAACTCTGTCCTGAGCAATCCTTTCTAGCTCCGTCCAGTTGTAATTCATCGTTTTCATATCTGCTTCTATTATCCGACGCAATGTGTTCTTTGGCCTTCCTATTTCTCGCTTCCCTTCAGGATTCCAAGTTAGGGCTTGCCTCGTGGTGCAGTTTGACGATTTGCGTAATGTATGTCCTATCCATTTCCATTGTCTTTTCCTAATTCCTTCTTCAGCTGGAGGCTGATTTGTTCTCTCCCACAGAAGGCTATTGCTGATGGTATCCGGTCAATGGATGTTGAGTATCTTGCGTAGACAGCTATTTATAAGTACTTGTACTTTCTTGATTGTGGTTGTTGTAGTTCTCCAAGTCTTAGCTCCATACAGTAGAACTGCCTTGACGTTCGTATTGAAGATTCTCACTTTGATATTGGTTGAAAGTTGTTTTGAGTTCCATATGTTCTTCAATTGTAGGAATGCTGTCCTTGCTTTGCCGATCCTCGCCTTTACGTCTGCATCGCATCCTCCTTGTTCATCGATGATGCTTCCTAGGTATGTGAAGGACTCTACAACTTCCAGAGTTTCGCCATCAAGAGTGATTGGATTGCTGTTTTCCGCTTTGAGTTTGAGAACCTTGGTTTTCCAATTGTGTATGTTGGGGCCTACTGATGCAGAGACTGCTGCTACACTGGCTGTCTTCATCTGAATTTGTTCGTGTGTTAGGTCATTTGCGAAGTCCAAATCGTCTAATTGATTCTGAGCTGTCCATTGTATTCCGTGTTTTCCTTCAGATGTTGAAGTCTTCATAATCCAGTCGACCACCAGAAGAAAGAGGAAGGGAGAGAGTAAACAGCCTTGTCTGACTCCGGTCCTTACTTGGAATCAGACAAGGTAATGGTAATGTTAAAAGTAGTACTCAACGGAGAGATACACGTTGTTCATTCGATCAACAACTTTATCTAAGCTTATTGAAGCTTTGAATTTGTATTTCATCGTTTAACTTTCAATGACAAAATCCTACCCCAACTCATTTAGTTTAGTTTGGGCAATTAGATATTTATCATCAAAACCTGAAGTTTCAAATGCTTGAACAATAAACCTTTACTTATCGTATGAATAGTACTGACAAATTAAAACCATCAAAATTTGATGATGATGAACTATTCAGTGGATAGTATTTAAGATCAATGAATAATCTCAGACAGTAAATTAAAACACTGTTTTTTTTCTTCTAAGCAGCAGATATTATAGAGAATAAAAATAAAAGTACAGTTTAATGCAAGATGTAAATACACATATTGTATCAAATAAGAAATAATTCGATAAATGTAGTTCCCTGTAATACATTGAAACCATTTTATTTGAGTTTATTTTCAGCATAGAATGTGTAAATGCAAAAAAGAAAATTATCATATTTTAAACTGATTATTTTCAACATTAAAAGTAAATCTGTAAACAAACGTTTCAGGAATTGACGAGACTACAATTTATAGACAAGCGCTTGAGGGATTTTAGGGTTACGGAGCCAACTTCAGTACGGGACCATAAGTTGTGGACGGACCAATCAGGTATAAGATAATAGATCTCGCATTTTGGTGCGAAAATCTGTCATCCATTTGGCTATATAGAGTTTTGGCATCAAAGCTGATGTCAGTTCGTGATGAAAAACCTATATATGATTCATGACTAAGGCAAATTATGACAATTATTTCGAACTGGATAATAAAAGCACCAGTAACACTGGCTGCAGCTAGGTACTACAATATATACGGATGGTTGGAGAGCGTACAGACTTCTACATAGGTTTGGTTGTGTGAATCGTGTCGTTATCCACAAGTGGCATTATGCGTGCTCAACAACCAGAGTGCACACAAACAATATTAAAGCTATGTGTTTGAGGCTGGGAGAGCTTTTGCGACCTTATTATAGCTCCACAGGCCGACTATTCTGTAGCCATATAGATGATTTCCTCTAATGCATGCGAGCGCTAAACCACTAGATCACTGAGCTGACCGGCATCCAACGTGAGCGCTTCAATTGACTCATGAGCTCAACTATTGAAATTACTATAATATCCACAAAATTCCTTCTGATAATATTAAGTTAGTCAAATACTTATATGTATTTGTATACATTCTATGTTTATATCTAAAGATATTTGCCAAAAAAAGAAGAAGAACAATATTCACATGATAATGTTTTGATTATAAAAATTTCTTACGAATGTTTTCACATTTAAAATTAGTCGAATCAAAATCATCTGGATTGTAGCACAAACAAAATTTTTGTTTGGAAAAAACATCAGTATTTGTTTGTTTGTTTTTGTTTTATGTAAAATAAATGAACTAAGTTGCGAATTTGGCTGTTTTTTTTAAAAATTTCTTTGCAAAATATCCATTCTGTTTATAAAATGTGAATAGAAATGTAAAACACTTTTTTATTTCTTCAATAATATTTATGAATCTTAATATTTTTTGATATTTACAACTTTTAAAAATCTTTTAGTCAATATGTATGGATCCATTGAAATTCTCGTTGAAAATAATCATCTGTTCACCAGTGACTGACTTCAAGAGACACTCCTGGAGTTTTAATGAAAAGCCGTGACCACTGGTGTTCAACCAGGTCTGTTGTGAGATATCAGCTCACTGAAGGCAATGGTGGATGTGTCGCTCAATTTCATGGAGTGGTTGAATATTGACATTAACACCGTTGGATGCCTGCTCGGTTGTCTAATTGTTAAGTGCTCGCGCGCGAGACTGATGGGTCCTGGGTTCGAATCTCGCGGGGTGCGGGATCGTGGATGCGCACTGCTGCGGAGTCCCACAATAGGACGAAACGGCCGTCCAGTGCTTTCAGGTTTTCCATGGTGGTCTGGCTTCAATTGACTAATGATTTCAATTATTGAAATTTCTAAAATCTCCACGAAACCCCTTCTGAAAATTGTTCCTTAATGTCTAGTTGAAAAAAGCTATTACATCTCCAATTATTGTTTGCGTTTAGTAACGAATTATAGTTTCATTATGAAATGTTATAATAAGTAGTTGAAATTATCAACTATTTTTCATTACATAACAAACGATTTAGATTATATAAAGAATGTTTTATTAACTTGATATCTCGAACAGTATCCTCATTATAAATACAATTCTAATTCACATAGATATCTTCTGTGATTAACTAAAACACAAAATTCAATTGCTGAGATTATTTCAAATATAATTTTCACATATAATGACTTTGTAGTGTCAGTTACTATGTTAAACCCATATGCCTTATTCTAGCTTCCGGACAAACCAATCAATTTATTCTACTTGAGTCACATCCGCTTATTATTATTCGCTTATCAATCGTGACTGTTTTTATATGAGCGATCTAATTGGAGTCAGATGTAGGAGCACAAAAACTTCTCTATAATCGGCTAACAATTTCTGTCAAACTATCCCTTCTCATCTTGACGAATATTCATAAAAATTCCTTCTTGTTCAAAGTGAGTTAGTTCTTTATATTATTAAATGAATAACTTTTATCTTTATCCTAACTGTGTGTTATTCTAATGTTTGATTGAAAGAGATAAATTAGGACATCATGAATAGGTTGGGGAAAATTCTGTATAGAATGTCACCATACATAGTTGGTTATTTGCTTATCGTTTAATATCCAACTGATTGAATCATGTTAATTTAACATTAATATAATGACGAGTAATTTAATATTCCAATAACACATGCAATCAGCTTAATGTTTGTTTGTACAAAAATAATTGAATATTTATTTATAATAATTATTGAATGAGAAATTTTGTTTAAAACGATTATAGAGAGAAAAGGATGCCGGAAGCTGAAAATTTAATTTCTATAATTAAACTACTATTAAATTTTAAAACTATTTTAAAAATGTAAACATTTTGAAAGTGTCTACTTTTGTATTTTACATTTAAAGCTTTTAAAGGTCTTAGTTGCAAAACTTTAGTGTAGTACAATATGTCCCTTGAATACCTTTGATGTAATATTAGTTATAGTGTAGTGAACGAGAACTCAGGTGGGAATAACCAATTTGTTTCATGAAAAATCACAGAGTAGCTTAGTAAAATATTAAAACCATACTATAAATATATCATTTACGTTGTCTTTTATCTACTCCATTATTCCTTTAATTCTGTTGTGATTTAGATAGTACTCTGATTTTCTTCCTGTTCTCTTCATTTGAATCTTCTGTTTCTAAGCGCTCCTACTTACGATTGGCCCTACATATTACTTATATCTGTCAGCATTGGCAGCACACATCCCAAAAGTTATAGCAACAACTGTGTTGTCGTAACTTTTAAGATTATACACGGTATCGTGTTTAAGATAATTGGTTAAAATCTAGCCGAATATTTACTATCAGCAGATGACAGATTCTATGAAGTTAAATGGAGATATCTGAAGTATATATATATATATATATACCGTGTATATAAATGTTATACTAGTTTTAGTAACA